ACGGGTGCGCTCTAGGGAGGAAGGTAATGAAAAGAGAAGGCAGTGAGAGGAGTGAAGCAAGAATATTGTCTCAGTGGCAGATGAGTCTCCCCTTCAGCTAAGAACAGACTCGGGAAAAAGCAGCTGTGGGTTAGAAGCAGTGAACACCACAGCAGCTTGGAAGGGATGGGAGCATCGGCCAGTAACAAAGACCTGGGTGGGGCATTAACAGTGCCCGCTGCAGGCTCCCTAACCCTGGAGGTCGTCAGAAAATAAAATTCACCCCACTTTGACACTTATTGCTCCATGATCCTGTGATTGTCCGGATTTAGGGGTGGAGCACTTGCAATCAGTTTGTACTTCGCATAAAAACCATATTGGTAAAAGAAACAGGCTAAGTAATTTCTGTGGGTTACACAGCTTATCAGAACAGAAGCAAAGTGAAATCTTCTCCAGGCAGCATTCACTCTGCATTAAACTCTGATCTGGAACAGAACAAGTTTTGGGGGCCAGTTTGATCATCATCTCAGCCAAAGACCCAGCTGTCTGTAGGCAAGAATGTCTTCATATGCTTTTTTTTTTTTTTTTTTGAGACAGAGTTTCGCTCTTGTTACCCAGGCTGGAGTGCAATGGCGCGATCTAGCTGGGACAGGCACGCGCCACCATGCCCAGCTAATTTTTTTGTAGTTTTAGTAGAGACAGGGTTTCACCATGTTGACCAGGATGGTCTCGATCTCTTGACCTCGTGATCCACCCGCCTCGGCCTCCCAAAGTGCTGGGATTACAGGCTTGAGCCACCGCGCCCGGCCAGTTCATATGCTTTTTGATTTCCATTAATGTTGCCAGTTTTCTAGAGTAAGTGGTACTTTTTTTTTTTTTTTTTTTTTAAAGAGGGTGTCTCGCTCTGACACCAGGCTGGAGTGCAGTGGTGCAATCTTGGCTGACTGCAACCGCTGACTCCTGGTTCAAGTGATTCTTCTGCCTCAGCCTCCCAAGTAGCTGGGACTACAAGCACGCACCACCACGCCCGGCTGATTTATGTATTTTTTAGTACCAATGGGGTTTCACCATGTTGGTCAGGATGGTCTTGATCTCTTGACCTCGTGATACACCCACCTTGGCCTCCCAAAGTGCTGGGATTACAGGCGTGAGCCACCGTGCCTGGCTGGTGCTCTTTAGAGGAAAAGGGTCTCTACGTTTGCTTTGAAGGCATGGGGGGAGGTAACCCCCAAACCCCTCCAACATTAGAGGCTGTTTTGGGTAGGCAATGCCAACAGATGATTTAAAAAGAATTCCTTTTCTGGCCGGCCATGGTGACTCACGCCTGCAATCACAGCACTTTGGGAGGCTAAGGTGGGTGGATAACTTGAGGCGAGGACTTCGAGACCAGCCTGGTTTCAACATGGTGAAACCCCATCTCTTCTCTAAATACAAAACAAATTAGCTGGGCATAGTGGTGTGTGCCTATAGTCCCTGAGAGAGAAGAATCGCTTAAACTGGGAGGTGCAGTAAGCCAAGATCGTGCCAGTGCCCTCCAGCCTAGGAGACAGAGTGAGACTCCATCTTAATTTGTTTTTTTTTTTAAATTCCCGTTCCTATCTAAGTTGCTCAGATACTCTACTAAGATTTTTTTTTTCTTTTTTGAGAGAGTCTCGCTCTGTTGCCCAGGCAGGAGTGCAGTGGTGTGATCTCAGCTCACTGCAACTTCCACCTCCCAGGTTCAAGTGATTCTCCTGCCTCAGCCTCCCAAGTAGCTGGGACTACAGGTGCCTGCCACCATGCCTGGCTAATTTTTAAATTTTTAGTAGAGACTGGGTTTCACCATATTAGCCAGGCTGGTCTCAAATTCCTGACCTTGTGATCTGCCATGCCTGGCCTCTATTAAGGTTTAAGGGGAAGCCTGGAGCAGCCAGTTTGTCAAGAGTATGAAATGGAAAATGAAGCCAGGCCAGTGTGGTGGCTCATGCCTGTAATCCCAGCGCTTTGGGAGGTCCAAGCAGAAAGATCCCTTGAGGCCAGGGCAACATAGCGAGATTCCCATCTCTTAAAAAAAAATTAGGCCTGGTGTGGTGGCTCATGCCTGTAATCCCAGCACTTTAGGAGGCCGAGGTGGGTGTACCATTAGGTCAGGAGTTCAAGACCAGCCTGGCCAACATAGTAAAATCCTGTCTCTACTAAAAATACAAAAATTAGCAGGGCATGGTGGCATGTGCCTGTAGTCCCAACTACTCAGGAGGCTGAGGCAGAAGAATCACTTGAACCCGGGAGGTGGAGGTTGGAGTGAGCCGAAATGGCGCCACTGCACTCCAGCTTAGGCAACAGAGACTTCAACCAAAAAAAAAAAAAAAAAAAAAAAATTAGCTGGGTATGGTGACCTGTGCCTATGGGGACACACTGCATGGAAGAGAAGGCATGGGTGGGTTTTCTCTAAGCACATGTGATAGTGGGGTGGGGCAGGGTACTGGAATTGCGGAGTGTGTTATGGTTGAAACACATAAAAGAGGAAAGGGAACTTGGAGATGTTGATGCCAAGCTAAGGAATTTAAGACTTTGCTGTGATCCATAGAATGCTGAGAGCAAGGGAATCAAGTGATCTTGACATTTTTTGGAAGACCACCCAGGCCACTGTAGGGTGGGAAGGGAGTGCAGCAACAGAGAAGAGACTGTTGAGATGAAATTGTTGAGCAAAGAAGCGCTGACTCAGGGAGGGTCAGGACAGCAGCCCCTGGAGAGGCCAGGTGAACGTGACTTGGTGTAAGGCTGTAAGGTCACAAGGGAAGGGAAAGAGGCAGTAAGAAAGGAAGGGTCTGGTGAGTACAGGAAAGTCCTTAATCAATGCAGGGAGGAGCAGGGTCACAGTGGAGGAGAGATGCAAAGATGAATTAGTTCTGTTAGGCCTTGAGGTGGGGATGTCCAATAAACGATTGGAAGTATTGATTTGGTACTTGGGAGCAAGACCTGGTTCAGTTGTTGCCT